AATAAATCTCAGGCATAATTAACTATATAACATCAAACTGATAATTTTACTTTTTTATTGAGATCAGAACAGATGCTTTTAAAGTAATTTTTTAATTTTATATTGATAAAAGAGTTGACAAAAGTATTCAATACAAATATAACAAGCTGTTTTTGATACTTTAGTTAGCTTATTTACTTATCATTAAAAATAATTTAAATTACATTATCTATTTTATATACTTGAAGCATATAAAAACTATGCGCAGACCAGTAGGATTTTTGGCTCAAGATATTGGAATGTGGGAAAAGGCTTTAAACTTTCTTTCCCTTTTTGGTGTACTGACAAATGCTATTATAATTGCATTTTATTCTAATTGGTTGAAAATGCAATTCCTCAAATATACCGGCAACAATGAAGAGTATTTATTAATTGCTAGGCTTGGTTTTGTTATTTTTTATGAGGTAATCAATGTTATGATTTAGTTTTAATATGAAATTATATAATATAAACTTTTAATAATTATATTTTATCTAAACAGCATTTTGTATATGCAATTAAGATAATTTTTGCATATTTAATACCAGACAAACCATCATCTTTAAAAATAGCAATTCTAAGAGAAAAATATTTGGTCAATAAGCTATTTAAACATGAAGGAATGTTTGATGAACTTGAAGAAGAAGAAGAAGAAAGTTAACAACCGTTATACAAAAAGTAAAATTATCAGTTTGATGTTATATAGTTAATTATGCCTGAGATTTATTAAAAGTGTATATACATATATTTAGCAAACCAGATTTTTTTTTATTAAACTAGGAATAATAAGTCATTAATTATTTCATGTTTTTCGTTTTTTTAAAAAAAAAGTGTAAATATAACTTCTGATCGATCTGATCCGCCTATTACCGTTACCATATAATCTAATCCCACTCACTCCCTAAAATAAACCGCACTCCTTCTGATTCCAATAAATTTTAATACCTCTTTGTTACAAAACATATAATTTATAACCTCTAATTATTGCATTAATCAAATTAAAAAGCTTTTAACTAACAAATAACAAATAAAATAAAAAATTAAAATAGTATTTGACCATTCCTCTCATATTTCATATGAACGCACTAGCCTTTTTTAACTTTTACAGTGTAAGATTTTTCAATATTGTCCATTTTTGAACCTAAATATATAATATAATATAAAACTTTATAATTAATACAAGTAATATACAGATTATATTATTATAATACCTTTAATTGCATTTGTTATATTTTGCGTACTAATAACTTTGCTAGTGTACATAAAATCTGGAAATTGGCAAAGTGCTAATCATTTTATCAGTTGCTAAAATTTCTTTTTAATTTCATAAGTACAATCTGAACCAGATCAAGTATAAAATTCATATCTGCTGATCTGATTTTTGACAGAGAAATTTAGTTGATTAAAAGCATTGGCAACACTTATTATTGATATTGGTATTTTAGACTTTGGACGCTATATTTGAGTCGAATAGTACTGTACATTTAATTGTTAAGATGCTTTAATAAATGAGTACGTATCACCAGTGAAAATCTGTATATCTATTTTTAGAAATAAAGATTTTCACGATAATTCTTTTTAAAAATGATACGTATATTACAGTGATAATTTAATTTTCGGGTAGACAGCTAACAGGGCATTAACCAAAAATGACCGAAGCTGCAACTTTTATGTCGTAACTCCGGTA